TATTATTATTCCATAATCCCCAGTATCATTTCTGCCCTCTACATAGTTTTGGCCCACTGAATATGCTAACTACCATTGTGGATACCCCTTATCTTTTCTTTTCTTTTTCCTTTCTTTTCCTCTCCTCTCTTGTAAAAGGGATAAAAGCACCAGTGCACAGGGAACCCAGTAATTTCCAATTCCTTACTCTTGGCTAAGAGGAGAAGTGTTCCATAATCCCCAGTATCATTTCTGCCCTCTACATAGTTTTGGCCCACTGAATATGCTAACTACCATTGTGGATACCCCTTATCTTTTCTTTTCTTTTTCCTTTCTTTTCCTCTCCTCTCTTGTAAAAGGGATAAAAGCACCAGTGCACAGGGAACCCAGTAATTTCCAATTCCTTACTCTTGGCTAAGAGGAGAAGTGAGGCTGCACTCTAGCTGGCATACTCTTGCTGCTGGTTATGCAAATAGCTGGCTTAACACATTTGCACAGACAGGCGCCTGCCACTCTCTAGTGCACAGAGAGCCCTTTGTAGCCTGGAATCGTCACAAACGCCACTCCCCCACCTGTTGTTGTACCCGAGAGAGCCCAGGGAATGTTACAGGTAGGATCACAGGGGTCATGACAAAGATGGAGCCAAGGGGAGGAACTGGCCAAAGTTCCTTCTTTGGACTACAGTTTCCAGTGGCCATGGTGGCTAGAAGATTCTGGGAACTGTTTTAAAAAGTAACTTATCTGAGCTCTACAGGAAGAGCCCCTATACTCTGACCTGCTCGCCTTTGTGTCCCTCTGGCGCCTTCCAAGACTAAACTGAATCTCTTTTGAGTGTTAAGGGCAAACTTCATACTTAATAAACAGTGGATGTGATGCCATGCTAGGCCTGGGGATAGGCTTCTTTCCCCTCCCCACCAAGCTCGTAAGCGCCAACTAAGGGAGCAAAAAAGACCGAAAGGTATTTATTATGGTTATACACTAGACTCGAATTAGCCTGATGAGGACTAATTTGTTTTGAGTTCCAGTTTAAAACAGAATGGTTACATTCGGTTCCAGGCCACAACGAAGCCAATTTACAAACTGTTTTGAATCCAGGACACAAATGAAATAAGGCACCTTTTGCTTCACCTTGTTAGGTTTTTTGTTGTCGTCAGTCTTTTAAGGTGTTTCATACACATATCCTTGAATTATGACAGGGCTATTCTCCTCTGTCGTGACCCTTGTATCTCTCAGGGTTCTTGTACATCAGTATAAAACAAAAAACATTATAGCCATTTTGGGCTTTCAGTGTATTGACTTTACATATTTACGAATCAATTTAGATCTAGGGTATAAATCAAATTGGGCAAGGCACAAATTACTCTGGAACAAGAACTGAATTGGTAGATACATGTATAACCCTAGTATTAGTTTATTTATTCTCACTATTTTGTGTCATCAAGCTTCTTCTAGCTTATAGTGAATTAATGAATGACTCCCTATGAATTAATGACCTCCAGAAATTATGTCATTAATACCCTACACCTCTTCTTGTTAACTAAAGGCCGCAACTTCCTTTGTAGAGTTAATCCATTTCATGTCTTTTCCTTTTCCTACTGTTTTCAACCTTTCATAGCCTTATTGTCTTCCCAGTGAGTCTTGTTGTCCTATGATATATCCAAAGTACTTGTAATTTATTTAATAGCTACTTCTCTATTTTACCTCAATTCAAAACAGCCTTATATACAGTATAAGCTCACCAATAAAAGGCCACCTGATCCAGGATATTTGACTGCCTGAACTTGAGCAGCACTAGGGGCTTCTGACCCACCCCAGTCATATTATTCAAAGCCAGCCACAATATTTAGTACCTGGGGCAGGAAATCCCACAAGCATTTTCCACTGGTTAAAAACAAACAGCTGAAGAGGTTGAAATAGACCAATTCTATGAAGACTTACAACACCTTCTAGAACTGACAACAAAGAAAGATGTTCTCCTCATTATAGGGGACTGGAATGCTAAAGTAGGGAGTCAAGAGATAAAAGGAACAACAGGTAAGTTTTGCCTTGGAGTTCAAAACAAAGCAGGACAAAGGCTAATAGAGTTTGGTCAAGAGAACAAGCTGGTCATCACAAACACTCTTTTCCAACAACATAAGAGGCGACTCTACACATGGACATCACCAGATGGGCAATTCCAAAATCAGATTGATTATATTCTCTGCAGCCAAAGATGGAGAAGCTCTATACAGTCTGCAAAAACA